AGGAAGGAAGGAAGGAAGGAAGGAAGGAAAGAAAGAAAGAAAGAAAGAAAGAAAGAAAGAAAGAAAGAAAGAAAGAAAGAAAGAAAGAAAGAAAGAAAGAAAGAAAGAAAGAAAGAAAAGAAAAGGAAGAAGGAAAGAAGGGAGGAAGGAAGTGCAGTTCTGCAGAGCAGGCAAATTTGTAAGGAGTCTTGGATTCATAAATGTGTTTGGCAAAGGCAACTTGCCAGTGTGGTTTGCAGAGAAGAATGATTTGTAGAAGGAAGGACAGTGTGTATTGCAGGACAAATCTGGAAAAGTAAAGCTAAGGAATATTGTGAAGGGCCTTGAAAACTGTAGGAGATTCTCTGCCACCCAACTTGGCCTGGGGATGGAGAGGTTTGGGTAATTAATAATCTGCATAAATCCATCTTAGGACATAACCACTATTAATACCCAAGAGGTAAGGAGTACCATGAATGTTGTCAGAGAAACACTCCATTTTATGCTTTTTGCTTTGTTTTGTTTTCATGGTCGATGAGCAGTAAGTGGCATTTGGCTGGTTTTCAGAACGCAGGTAAAGACGGATAGAGATGGTCTCACGGGGAGCTCCTGACCTGGGGAGGAGGCAGATCCTGCCCAGACTTTGGTGACTGTTGGTCCAAGGAAATGTGCCCCAACATTTCTACATCTTCCAGGCTTTCAAGAGGTATTACAGATCTATATTTTATATGAGACGCCTCCATTTAAAAATATTAACTCTTTTTTATAACATGCAGACAAATCGCCACCGCCACCACCATCATCATCATCCCTGTCTATGAACTGGATCTGGTCCATGAGGCTGCAGTGGGCTCTGTTGGCCAACGGAATCCATAAGGCAGAAATCAGTCTTCTCTCAATGGTCCCCTTTCCCAACCTGCAACCAACTCTTGTGTCCTCTTTCTTTCTCTTATATGGGTGTTTAAACTTTGGGTGACTGCTGCTCGGAATGGCTGGCGGCGGGCAGAGTCATCCTCGTGTTAGCTCTGAGGATCTGGGGAAGGGGGTGTGATACTCACTGTGAATACTGCCTGAGTGGAACCACTGGAATCTAGGAAAGGAAAAGAGAGGTCAGTAACTAAGAAGGGGGTGTTGGCATGGAAGGTAGAGAAAGATGGGAGAACTGTTTTGAGGGAGGATGGACGATACTAAACTATCAAGGGCAGGCTGAGAAAAACAAAGGGTCTTGATGGGAGTCTCTAAGACAGGGATGATTGACAGAGCTGGCACCAAAGAAGTGACCAGAAAGACAAGAAGCAAGTAAAGAAGCAGAAGGAAACCAAAAAGCAGTATATACACCTGTTACTGCATTGAAGTCTGACTTCTAGAAGTTTGGATAAATTATATGCTGTAAATTAGGGGTCAGCAAAGCACAGGCTGTGAGTCAAAGCTGGGCCGTGGCCTGTTTTTGTACGACTCCCGAGCTAAGATTGGTTTTTACACTTTCAAATGGTTGGAAAAAAAAATCAGAGGAAGAATATGTCCTGACAGGTGAAAATTACAGGAAATTCACATTCCAGAGTTCATTTACATACTGTAAACATTTTCATATGAAAATGGCAGAGGTTTGAGTAGTTGTAACAGACAGCAGAAGGTCCACAACACTTAAAATATTTGTCATCTGCCTATTTACAGAAACAGGTTGGCCATTCCTTGCTTGTAATGGCCAAAGCAGTCATGATACATGGCCCTTCATTTGAATTCAGTCCATTTCGGAGCCCTACCTGTATTTCCCAGCTGCTGCCCAAACGATCACCCCTGTTCTTTGCCTTATTTTTTTATTCTACATTTTTTTTAAGTTCCTGCAAAATACCATGAGCTTATCTCACCCAGTAGACATAGGGTAGCTAACCATTTGCCATGAGCTGCTGGGGAGCAGAGATACACAGAACGTGGTGCTTGCTTTTTCAGTAGAGGGAATGGACCTCAGAGGAAAGAGTTACAGCCCAGTAATACTAGATGGTTTTGCTTAGTGGTTGTTATTTATTTTTATGTTTTGTTATTTCATAAAGTTTTAGGGGTGGGTTTGAAACAGGGATACATTCAATTTATGCCATTTCACAAATGTGAGTACTACAATCACATACCACAGTAATGGCTAAACATAAAGTCGGAATCCGAGACTATGTGAACAACAGTTAGGACTAGAGGTGGTGGTGGTGGGAACAGGAAGATAAAAACACAAATATGAGGGCAGTAAAGGCCAACAAAATGGACAGAGCTGAACTTCTTAATGGACTCTGAGCTTCCTGGCAGTCAAAGGGAAAAGAGTCACAAAACAATTAGCCTTTATTTTCAGAGAGAGGAAAAGGGATACTCCTTACACAGGAGCAGCAAACGTTTTTGTATCATGGAGTTCTTAAAAAGAAAAAGAAATCCTCTGCAAAGGATATAGGATGTATCTGTATGTCCCTATGTACAGGTAGACCTCATTTTGTTGTGCTTTGCAGGTACTGTGTTTTTGACAAATTGAATGTGGCCACCCTGTGTCAACCAAGTCTATGGGCACCATTTTTTTAAACAGCATTCACTCACTTCACATATCTATGTCATATTTTGGAATTCTCTCACTGTTCCAAACTTTTCATTCTTCATCTGTTTGTTATGGTGATCTGTGACCACGGATCTGTTACAACTTGCTGAGGGTTCAGATGATGGTTAGCATATTTTAGCAACAATGTATTTTTAATTAACATAGTAGACAGTTTTTGTCAGACATAATGCTATGGTATAGTTAACAGACTACAGTACAGTGCAAACACACCTTTTACATGCTGTGGGAAAGCAAAAATGGGGGACTCATTTTATGATGATAGTCACTTTATCTCAGGGGTCTGGAGTCGAATTCGTAATATCTCCAAGGTCTGCCTGTAATATATTTCTGAAATATATCATCAGGTTCTTTACAAAATAATGTATAGTAATAAATATAGTAATCTTTTGTATTTATGTAACTCTACAGTTTCCAGAACATTCCCACGATTCTGCTCATTGGAGCAGTCTTGGTGAAGAGTAAGTGGGTATTGTCACTTCCATTATTCTGTTCAAGTCTCAGCATGTAAATTTCTGGCCTTTGTGACTGAATTACGTTCCCTGGCTCCTGGTCCAAGGGTCTTTCCACTTTGTAACACCAAAGAGACATAATCCGATCTGACCCAGGCCTTACCAAGGTAAGGAGGAGCTCTCCCCTCCCAGGAAGCTGTCTCATGGCAATGCCACTGTCCTCCCCAGTAACTTCTCAGAAGCGCGGTGTTGAAAGTCAGAGTCAAAAGCTAAAGTTAGAAACAGTATCAGGCTGTTAAGTAAGAGGGGTCAGCTCGCAGCTGTTCCTGGAGCTTTCTGAATTGTAACGACGTGTCCACTTTGATACCTGAGAATCAATTACAGAGAAACTTTGTCAAGATGGCCAAAATTCAGCCTTAAATAATTGAATTCTCTGCCAAACACTGTCCACTGTCATTATCTAGAAATGTAATTATGCAGCTAAATCAAGCAACTAAAATTAGTGTAGTGTAAAAACACCTTGGCGATCTAAAGGGAGGGGAATTGACATTTGGATTTAGAGAAAGCCAATAGTTGAATATGTTTTGCGGTGTCTGAAGCTCTCCCAGTTTCGACAAAATCTATATCCTGTGTCCTGTTTCGAGTTAGAGGTGGAATGTGGCAAGCAGATGTTTGGTTTGAAGGTGATTTTTTAATGATCTCTATGCCATGAGCATGAGCTGGGTGGGTTCACTTCGTGCTCTCAAAATTGTGAAACTCTCAACACGCCCACGTGCTCTCCTGATATGACGATGAGACGAGTGACAATTTGAACGTTACCTGCACCTTCAGTCTGAAGTCAGAGGTGTGTCTGTACCAGCCATCAGTAGAAGGACAGGAAACCCCAAATAAGAAGGGCAAATATTTTTACACATCTTGTATTGTATCCACCATGATATGGCGCCAAGCACTTGTCACAGAACCCTATGAGGTGAGGTCTATTATTATCTCAGTTTCCCAAATGAGAAAACTGAGGTCCAGAGACGCTAAGCAACTTGTTGAACCTCACACAGCTATTAAGTGGGACACCCAAGTCAGTATAATTTCAATTCATGCAATCCCACACAAGTTTATCTATTAGCATGTAAAGTGTCCAGTGTCCTAGACAATCCCTGGGATATGTTGAAACATAAGACTTCAGGCATTGGCTATAATGTATTTCTCATCTGTAGTTTTAGTGTAGATTAGCTCTGCCTTTAAACTCTGGGTACAGGTTGTCATCTCTTATTAACAGATTGCATATTAATATATGGCAATAGAAAGCTCAAAGACGAAGAATTTTTTTTTTAATTTAAAGGCTCATGAAGTTCTATGACAGAACAAAACACTGCAGTGGGAATGATGGTGTGATCAGAGACTGTGTTTGCAGCCTGCCCCTTACACACGTAGGGCCAGGAGTGAGCCGTCCAGCTAGTGTGAGCCTCGTCCTCCACGTGTCTCTGGAACTGATAATAATGCATCCTTGGGAGAGTTGTGAGAATGAAATTACCAAACAGTTGTAAATCATTTCGCTCATTCTGTGTGCAGAGCACACACTGCAAATATTAGCTGGTGGTGTTATTGTGTTGTTTGCACAAATTGCCCCTTTAAAAGGAAAACCAGAGGGTGGGGGTGGGGGAGGATAACAAACTAGACCAAGTGTCCGCTTGGTTTCTTTGAGATCAGTCCCCAAGGCTGCCCGTGTTCCCCTGCTTCGGTTTTAAGGGGCAACTGATAATCTACGAATTTACGTTTCTCACTTCTCCTCTCTGAACACCTCACGCAGACTCCGTCCCTTGCCTTTTGTGCCTTTTGCCCCAATTCCTTAGGAAGAGCCCAGATCCCCCAGCCTGACCACCTCTCGCTCCGTCTCCTGCTCTCTCTCTCACTCTCGCCGAGAACTAAATTAATAAAGAGTATTTGGTTAGTCATGTTAGGCAAGCCATTCCCAAAATAGCACCTTCCATTTTGGTAGCTTCAGCCCTGCAGCTGCTGTGTCTCCTCGTCGTCTGGGAAGAAAACTTTCACATTAAGAGTTGCTGATCCCGGTCTTCTTCCTCGCCTCTCTCCGCGTCGATGCGTGCTGGGCTCCTGACAGAAGCCATCTGGCGCTCAGCTCTGTGGTTCGGAAGAAGTCGGGTCCTATAGGTTTATTTTTTTCCCCCTAACTCTCCATTGATGTGTTGAGCTTCCGAGGGAATCGTACCTTCCTGTAAAGCATGTTGCCTTCTCAAGGAGTCCTCCTGCATCCTTATGGCGTGCCAATGATCGTTCCAGCAGCCCCTTACTTCCCCGGACTGATCCAGGTAATTCAAGGCAACTGCCAGCGAGCAACTTAACTCCAGAGCGCTCAGAGTAATAATTGGAATTTTTATGGTTGAGAAAGCAAACACTTTTAATACAGGAAAAAGCCCTCGTGTAGTCAGTGGGAAGACAGTAGGAAATCAAAAAGATGGATCACCCTGATCCGGCTATTGACATCTCTCATGGCTGAATAAATGGTGTAGTTGAGCTATATTTGCTTGTATCGATCGAGCTGCTGTTTAACATTCATGCCTTTGCTTCGGGAGGTTGACCACGGGGCAAAGGATTTGCTCTCCTTCCCAGAGTTCTGAGGGACTCCGTCTCCCGGAGCAGGTCATGAGGCAGAGTGACTGATCATCAGGCGACTTGGTTAAGAGCTTTCACCCAGGAAACAGCGGGAGCGGGGAAGGTGCATTCATCCTCGTGTTCGCCCTTTTTTGTGTGGATGGTCTGTTTTTGTAGGACCCCCCCTCCCCCCCACCACTTCCCCAACCTGGGTTGCGTGGTGGCAGAGAGGCAAAAAAGGAACACTCTGCTGATGGTTAACTGATGAAGTTCAGAGATAATTCTAGGAATCCCTTACCAGCTGTTTACATCTTAATGATGGCAAGAAAGTGGAGGATTGAAATGTGCTTTGGTTTTACTTTTAAGGCTATTAATCCTCTGTCGGGAGAATCGTCTACCAATAAGAGATTTGGGGCTGTTTTTTTTTCTTCTTCTTTCTCCTAAGTTTGTCTTTGTAAGCAAGTGTCGGCTTCTGGGCATGTGTCTGAATTTCTCTGTGGAAGGCTGACATCGACTAGTAACAGAGCCTAAACATCGTAGGAAGCCTGGATGTTTTTTTGTTGCAGTTTGTTTATTTTTTGCTTGAGAACAACCGTCTCTCTATGTAATGATTCTCTACCTCGCTTCTACAGGAAAGGGAGAACCCGCATGTAGTTAGTGTGCCCTTTTACAACTTTATCTTTGTGCTCCCCCCCCCACACACACTATTTTAAAATTCTGCAACAGCCTAGCCCGCGGATTAAAATTTCCGGAAAGGGTGCCGGTCAAGCACCTTTATTCTCGTTTGCTGAATGTTGTTGTTACCTCTTGTCATCTGTAAGAACTCTGATGGTGATCTGAGCCATCCAGGGATGATTCCATGTCATAACAAAACATTCTATCATCCCAGATTAATGGGTCATTGATTGTTTGGGCGTCTTCCTGTATCACAGGGGAGAAATAAGCAAACTGCCCGGGGAGTGGTCCCTAACAACCTGGAGATGGTTCCAGCTTTCCGGGCGTGAGCAGGCCGGCGTGGCCGGCGTGGAGTCTGAAGGAGGCACTCCGTGGCAGACTGGAAGGCAGGCCTTTCGCTTCTCTTGGGGAACTTGGGGTGAAGGTTAGCCTTTGGAGTTTTGTCAGACCCTCTGCCGCCCCGTCCGATAAATAATTATAAGCGAATCGTGCCCTTCACTCTATGCTGATGGATGCTGAAATTGCTTCTGAAAGTTCTCATAAGTTCCTGTTATAGATTAAGTGCCGGTGTAGGAGAAATAACGGCACCCACTGAAATGGGTGAATGTAATCAGGCTTAATGGACTCGAGAGCTTGTTGGGAATTAAATAACTATCGATTTGCTGGAATGTTGCTGTCATTACGAAATGCCACTCTGGACGTATTACCCCAGTGATGGATGAGAAGACACACGGGCCAGCTGAGAAATGGGGGAGGCCCAGTTTCTTCCGCCTTTGCAGAGCGTCTGAGAGACGTGTCCAGTTATTTTGGGGAGGGACGAGTGATTTTGCTTGCAAATCTTCGCTGGATCACCCTTTGTTTTCCCAAGTGACACCTCTGGTAACTAGTTACCTGTAAGTCAGGGAAGCAGTGCGGTGGGGAGCCTCTGGACAGGCTGCTGTGACACAATTCATCTTCTTCCTCTCCCACCCTCGTCGAACACGCTGAAATGCTATGGGCAGGGAGAGACTGGCCGTATTTCTGGTTTTCTGAGACAAACTATGTTATTTATCCACTGGCATCAAGAAACTCAAACACTCCATTGCAGTTGACATTTGTAAGCAGAGGAAAGGCAACTCAAAGAGAGAAAAACTAACACTCACACACACACACACACACACACTCACCTTTCAGCTGATGCTTCTGGTGTCAGCTGCCCTGCATCCTCACAGACTAAACCAGCTTGCCTACCAGTTCAACTTACGCTGGGTTTCTTCCCAACACTTTAAGACGCAGGGCTTTCTCTTAGAGGGAATGAAGCTGCCACCTGCATCTTCCTGATGTGACCAGCGAGACATTCAAAGGATGTAAAAAGAGAGTGTGTGCCCCATCCTTGGTAGTAAGTTCCCTGTGACTGCAGATATGCGAACAGAGCTGTGGTGGCCACTTGGCAGGGTTGTTGTATCAGAATTTGAGATTCCTTTCAAAGCCCTTCCGACCTGAAAAGCCCGTGATTCTATGGCATAAGGACTTCCTTTTCATGATCCTTTCAAGTGTGGCTTTTTTTTTATTGCCCTGTTTTTGTCTGCTCAGTTAAAAGAAAAAATAATTGATCAGACATCATAAGAAGCTTTTAAGAGAGCATCACCTTATCCTGCAAAGGCAGTGAGTGTAGGTGTTTCCTAACAATTCTAGGGGTGTTACTCACTAGAGTCTTTTGTCCCAGGAGTAGATTCAGTAGGGACCACTGGGCCCACCTGCCATCCCCAAGGAAAGCTAGACTCTGCCATATTTGATCTCCTGAACCCATCTTTCAATGTCTGAACTTGTTGAATGTATAGCAAGGTAACTAGTTTTTCCTGCTAGCCATGAAAAGAATTCCAGAGTGACTGTGGAGGATTGAGCAGAAGCAGTTTGGAGAATTTCATGGGTAGCGAGAAGCAGAAGACAAAAGAACAATATTACAAAGAGCAGTGTATAAACTTTGCCCCTTTCCCCTTGGTGTGCACCCCAAGTCTTGGTATCTTTGGGTAAGAAGAACTAATGTATGTTCCCATCGAACTTCTTTATTAACTTCTCAACTTCCAACAATACCTTGAATGATCAATGAGTTGTCTGACCTGAGAACAGAGGAGAATTGATGAGTCAATTGTCAGTCAATCTCAAGTCCAAGAAGCTACCACGAGGACGTCCCCCAGCTGTAGATCCTGGCCACACAATGCCAAATGATATCATCCGAACAGCAACCTTGTTACTGGCTCGGCTGGTTAGTGTTTGAGTTAATGAGCCCTTGGTTCTGGGTTCAAATTCAGGCTTGTGCCCCTCACTCTAGATATATGTCTGACAGTGTGACAGTCACAGCTAGATCATTCTCCACACGGGGCCACATCATTCCCATCTCATCCCGATATTACAGATCGGATCAGGAGACCATTCTCCTAGATGGAGGACAGTGTTAACAGCCACATGCAGCTCCCCATGCACTTGTTAACATAGTTATTCCGTCACTGCACACATATTCCATATCAGGCACCTGGAAAACAAAGGTGAGAGTTAGAGCCTCTGACCTGTGGGTTCATGGCCCAGTGGAAGACGACATTAGATAAAAGCAAAAGTCTAATGCTATGGTGCAAACAGTAGGGAAGCATGATAAGTGATCATTATTGAGAACTTACAGTGTGCCAGGTGCTGTGCTAAATACTTAATTTTCTCAATTTATTCCCACAATTCAGTAGTCCCCCCTTATCTGTGGGGCATTTGGTCCAAGACCCTGAGGGGATGCCAGAAATGGCGGAGGGTACTGAGCCTTACATATACTATGTTTTTTCCTATACATACCTACCTACGATAAAGTTTAATTTATAAATTAGGCCGAGTAAGGACTAACAATACCTAATAATAAAATAGAACAATTACAACAAAGTACTGCAATAAAAGTTATGTGATTATGCACTCTTCCTCTCTCTCTCATGCTTTGTTCAAAGTTAATGTCTTTTCCATCTTAATTAATCCCTTATCAAGCACTGGCCGTAACTTTGGCAGTCTGAGGTGTATCAGCAAGAGTAGCATGGATTTCTTTTCCCTTCTTCCCCATCCCAGGGAGAGAAGGTTTGTTCTTACTGTAGATCTTAGCACTCTCCGTGTATGACTTTGTTTCAAGAACTTTCACCTTTTCGCTTAAAGGAAGCACTTGACAGCTTCTCTGGTCCAAGTGGACTGCCAGCATCACCGCCTTTGCACTTTGGGGCCATTATTACGTGAAATAAGTGTCGCTTGCCATAACCTGGGAGTTGATCTGATAACCGAGATGGGTATGAAGCATGGGTGGGATCTGCTGGACAAAGGGGTGACCCACGTCCTGGATGGGGCAGGAGGAGACCGGGTGGGACAGCACCACTCAGAAAGGCACACAATTTAAAACCTAGGAATGACTTACTTCTGGAATTTTCCATTTGATATTTTCAGGCCGTGGTTGACCACAAGTAACTGAAATCTGAAAAATGAAACCACAGATGTTGGGGGGCAGGGCGGGGGCTGCCGTAACCCTAAAGCTGGGTGCTGTTGTTCTGCCCTCCCTTATCTGTAATTTTAAATTCCAAAGAACTCGGAAAATCAGGGTTTTATTTTTTTCGGGAGGTGGGGAGTTCGGCACCAGAACGCATTTTGGAAGACAACTTGACCTGAAATGATGTGTGGCTATTTATAGACTTCCTTTATCCCGCGTAGTGTGAATATTCATATATTTTGCTACGGGAATATTTATGTGTTTGATTTCAGAGTGCTGTCCCAGACCCCGCTGAGAGGGTTACATAATCTGTTTCCAATGAAACACTGTTCTGGAAGAGAAAAATCCAAAAAAATCTGAGTTCCAAGGTACAGGTGACCCCAAGGGTCTCAGATAAGGGATCATAGTCATTCGTTATGATGCCCTTTCTGCATATGGGAGAACCTGAAACTGACCCTTAAAGAAAGGTCACTTGCCCAAGGTCACAAGGGTTGTCAGTGACAGAGCTGAGATTTGGACCAGGTCTGACAGACCAGAGCCTTCCCTCTTAACCACTGA